AGAACATCAAACTGAAAGACTGGAATATGACTGAATCTAACCAGAAGATATTTCTTGTCTTGTCAGCATCCACAAAACCATTCTATCAACGGACCATTAACAGGTTATAGAATAACTTACACAACAAACAAAGGCCAGACAAAGAATGTTGACATAGGTGTGGTCAACACGTGGAATATTACATCACTAGAAAAGTGCACGTGGTACAGTGTAACGGTGTCAGTTAATAACTCCAAGTACATCGGTCCACCGAGTAAAAATTCCACTATAAGAATTGGAAATGGTAAGTGCTGATTTTGTCTTTTTTTGAAAAACCTCAAAATAATTTGTTCTCGAGCACTCGTTCCTCATTATTATCATTCACACATACAGAAATTTACAACAGCATTAAAGTTACTTCAGTCGTTATCACTTTATATAAAGATGAGTTTTGCTTACAATTTTTTCTGCTGACTGAGTTCTACCAATCGCGAGCACTGACAAGTGCAAAGCTCGGAGGGACATTGAATTTTGAATATCAAACAATCTCTAAAGAGGAGCAAATAGCTAAATTCCCATGTAAATTTATAGTTGCTTACAGCCTTGAGTTTTTATAGCACCGATGTCCGGTCCCACGAATGTTTCTGCTATCCCGACAAACTCTTCTTCAATTGCTGTKTCCTGGRGTCCTGTAACAATGGACAAATTAACCTGTGACATCACCGGATATGACGTCAAGTTGACACAACACGAATGTGCAGATATAAAAAGCGGTGATTGGATTATTGAATCGACCAATAGAAGATCTACGGTTTTTAGCGGACTATCGCCTTCTACAATGTACGCTGTCTCCGTGAGAGCAATTACGATAGCCGGTCCAGGTCCTTATAGCAAACCAACTTGTGTCTCAACCACTCAAAGACATGTACGAGGTAAGATGGTATTTGGTATAAATGTTTTTTTTTTTTTGCTGATGCTGATGCTGATAATAAAAATATGCGCACATGAAAACGAGGTATTTCCAAGAATATAGGCAAGCTTCGGGACTGTAACAGAAAATACCTCGTTCTCATGCGAACGGGCATCTTAATTGTCGTTCATTAAAGAATATACTGAAATATATACTGAATGTAAGAAAGCATGACGATAACAATACAGTCAACTCTCGCCTTACAGACACCCCGCTACAACGGAAACCTCGACTATTGCGGACAGTAAAATACTGAATCGCCGCCTAAAAACACAAAGAAGTTACTGAAAGTAACTCTCGTTACTACTGACTCTCGCTACTGCGGACACTAAATTACAGTCCCGAGGGTGTCCGTAATAGCGATAGTTGACTGTATTCAATTATTTTTTATGATGATGATAATGACGTCGATGATGATGATTAAAGGTTAACATTTATCGTCAATTTTTCGTCATACAATCATATTTACAACGAATCAGTTCTGCAGTTGAATTTAACCTGACAACTTATCAACTTATCAAAATAAGAAAATAATCCTTAGTTTCAGCAGGAAACCTTGGAAAGGAAGGCAGTAGATCATCGTCAGCAAAGACAGTCATGATTGGTCTTGTGGTAGCTCTTGTTGTTGTGATTATCCTGCTAGCTGTGATTACAGTCCTAACATGGAAAAAGTAGGGATCTCACATCTACAAACTCTATTTCTATCA